TTTTTTTTTTATTCTTGTGTTCTGATTCTTTCGTTCTGATTTCTTCTTTCACAACATGACTGATGTGGAAATATGTTTCACATGATTGTACGTGTATAACCCATATCTGATTGCTTGCTGTCTTGAGGAGGGGGGAAGGAGAAAATTTTGGAACTCAAAATTTTGCGAAGATGAGTGTTGAAAACTGTCTTTACATGTAATTGGGGAAAAAAAACCATTAAGGAAAAAAAAGTCCTCCAGGATCTGACAAAATAACTGAATCATTTCACATTGTTCCTCATGCAGCTTACATTACATCCAAATTAGGCTACATAATGTTTTCTACACCTCATATTCCTACATCCAGCCCCTGGGACTTTGTACAGGCAGGATGCCTAGAACATTCTCACTTATGACCTTTCCCTACTGGGATCCCTGGCTCCATTCAAATTTCTTCTGAAGTGCCAGTTCCTTGGACTCCTTTCTCATCTCATAGTTGTGAAAGTTGCCTCCTGCTGCTGTATAATTACATTTATGTTAACTCTGCATTTGGTTGGATTTAATTAACTGGGCACATGTTGTATCTGCATAGAATGTAACCTCCTGGAGGGAAGAGATTGTTTTCTTTTGTTGTCTTTGTATTCCAAGCATCTAGCATGGTATCTGGCCTACTTTCCTTTGGAAAGGATCTTTGCTAGGTGGTGCAGTGGATAGAATATGGGCTTGGAGTCAGGAAGAGCTGAGCTCAAATTCAGCTTCCGATACTTACTAGCTGTATGACCCTGGGCAAGTCACTTAACCCTGTTTGCCTCAGTTTCCTCATCAGTAAAATGAGCTGGAGAAGGAAGTGGCAAATCACTACAGTATCTTTGCCAAGAAAACCTCATGGACAGGGTGGTCCTTGGGGTCCTGAAGAGTCAGACACAACTGAACAACAACAACAACAATAGAAATCTTGCTGAGGAAAGCCCATCCACCAATGCAGATGAGCACCAACTCTAGAACTTTTAGATTTAGAAAGTTGCTAGGGGTCTTGAAAGGTAAAGACTTTCCTAGAGTCACAGCCAGTATCTATCAGAGGCTCAAAGGTGAGATTTGAACTCCAAATTTCCCAATTCCAAAACTAACTCTCCCTCTTCTATGCCAAGGCAGCCTTTATGTACTTGCTGAATGGAACATGAATAATAAATGCTCGTTGAATTGAAATGAGAGGTAGGGGAGACCAAGGCAACTTTATTTCAAAAGAACCTGGATTAAGGGAGAGAGAGAAAGTTTGTTTTTTAAAGAGTCTCTGAGAATATTGTTCAGAGAAACAGCAACATTGTGTGATGACCAGCTTTGACAGACTTAGCTCTTCTCAGCAATACAATGATCTAGGACAACTCCAAAAGACTCATGATGGAAAATGCTATCCACATCCAGAGAAATAACTATGGAATCTGAGTGCAGATCAAAACATGATATTTTCTCTTTTTTTGTTTTTTCTTTCTCTTGGTTTTCCCCTTTTGTTCTGATTCTTCTTCACAAAATGACTCATGTGGAAATATGTTTCATATTGTACATGCATCTCTTATATCAGATTGCATGCTGTCTTGGGGAGGGGTTTGGGAAGGGAGGGAGAAAAAATTTGGAACTCAAAATCTTATGAAAGTGAATATTGAAAACCATTTTTACATGTAATTGGAAAAAATAAAATACTACGAAGTGGAAAAAATAAATTAACTAGAGACATGGGGGAAAAAAGAGTTTCTGAGTTTGCCCCACTTCGAGTTATTTGTTTAGTTGGTTTCCTTATTAGGACATTGATGGCTTGAATAATAGGAGAAAGAACAAAAATGAGGCAACTAGGTGGTGCGGTGAATAAAAGGATGGACGTGGAGTCAGTCAATAAATATTGATTAAGCACTTACTATGTGCTAGGCACTAAGCCAGGCAGCGGGATACAAAGAAAGGCAAAAGACAGTCCCTGCTCTCACGAAACTCATAGTCTAATAGGGGAGACAACTAGTAGACAACTATGTACAAGCAAGATATATACAAGACACATGTGAGATATTGATGGATGGAATCTATCTATCTAGGAGGCTATCAAAGGCTTCTTGTAGTAAGTGGGATTTTAGCTGGGACTTGAAGGAATCCGGGAAAACCAGCAGGTGGAGATGATGAAGGAGAATGTTCAGGCATATGGGAAAACCAATAAAAATGCCCTGAATTGGGAGTTCAA